GGGTTAGAGAGGAGAAGACGGAGTCATTTTGTTAGTCTGTTTGTGTTTCTGGTCTGTGAAGCCATGTCGACCCCTCCTGAGGCTGTTGTGTGTTCATGCGTCCCAGACATGAAGCATAATTACCTTGTCATCTTTGTCAAAATCCTCATCCTCGTCTTCCAGCAGGTCTTCCACCGCTTGCTGATAGATGCAGAAAAAAAAAGAAGGAATAAAGACATTAAAACACGAGATAGATGTTAGCTAAACATTATAAGAAGAGCCAAAGAGGCACATTAACGCTGATTGGTTCTGCTTCTGTTTGGCTAAAGTTCGTTAATGAGCGTGGAGAGCGCGCAAACATCCCAACTATCTGATTACTTTTTATGTCACAGGCTTCAGACTGGTTCTGAAGCGGAATTTAATTTTAGAAACATTCTGTTGTTCGAACATGTTGACACTTTTAGATGTGTAAGCAAACGCCCCGGCGCTGAATTTCAGCAGGCTAGGGATTAAAATCTTTTCATCTCCTCAAATCACAGAGGAAAAAAATCTTTAAATCTCAGAGGGAATATCTTCTCTGCTCGGTCTCTTCTGACCTCCTTAACCTTTGCACCCGTTTGTCTACACATTCACCTATCCTTTTTTTTTTCTTTCTTTTTTTGGTTCGATTTTGCTATTTCTCTTTACATCCTCCACCAGAATGACACTCTGTGTGAGAGAAAAAGAAGAGAGCTTTAAGCTCAGAGTGAAAGTCTCAAAGAACGACAACTACTTGCTTCAGTGAAGCACAACCGATGAAACTGGAGCTGGTGTTACTCCGAAGCCCCAAGACACCCTGAGACAAACAGTACAGCATGAAGAAAAATTGCTTGCCTTGAAACACAATCATGCACACGCATTCAAAACAACAAGCGACGCAACATGGAAGTTCTAGTTTTTTCCTTTACAGAAATGGAAATTTGACACAAAAAAATGTTTACCTGACGATAATGCACACCCTAATATTCAAGTTTAAAAGGGTTGAAATCATCCAAATAATTCAACCTATGAACTAAAAAACAGCTTTCATTGGGGTTAAAAGCCAAAGTCCATTGATACCTTACTTCATACGTCAAATTCAAGGCCCGCAGGCCAAATGCAAGTGACTACTGTCAGGATTGCCTTTTTTTACATACTTTATTAATTATGAAAACAAAAAAATACTTTAATTTTATGATTCAGTGCAAGAAAAATAAACACGTAGGGTGAATGATAATATTACTTGTAACCCCCAAAGCTGATGGCTTTGAGTAACTGTGGTCCCCTGAACAATTTATTTGAATAGCCCTGTATTAATGTCTTAAAATAAGCTAGCATTGACCATAAACTACATTTCCCATAATGCATGTCGTTTATGTATGGGAATTCACCTTTGGAAAGTGAGAGAATTCAGAATGCAAGACTTACCACAACTCAACAGTGAGTAAAACTCTCTTACTTTTATTTTTAATACTTTTAATATTATTTATTTCACATTTAGTAAGTCGTACACATAGTACCTTTCAGTGGTTATAAGAGCTGTGTTAAAACACTGTTTTTATGCAGGAATTACCACATAGAGCTCAGTTATCATTTGTTAGCCATGCTCAGCCTTTGCAATGAGGTGAGAAACATGACGTTTAGTCAAAGTGAAAAATGAAACATTGAAGTTAATTGCAACTGGCCCTTTGAGGGCCACCATAACGCTCATGTGGCCCTTGGTGAAAACGAATTTGACAACCCTGCTCTACTTGAATGTTTTTGAGTCTGAGTTATGTTCACCCTTCTGTCACTCAAACATCCTAGCTACAAGGTCATAATCTCACTCCCAATTTACATAAACAAACAGCCAAATTATAAGTCCTCCAGCGGTTAACCTCACAATTTATCAGCCCTCAGTCTAGTATTGTGTTACATAGTCCCACTCCCCCACCCCCCCAATAAAGCTTTATCAGGTCCTGACTTCCTTACAACCCCTACCACTTCCAGAAGAGCACAAACTAGTTTGGAGACGTCCAAAAATCATTACTTAACGAGACAATGGCCTTTGTCCTTTTTGTTTTTTTTTCCATTGGAATAGGGGGGTGTGGGGGGTATGAGGCGCCTGACATAAGCCTCTTATGTAAATGCAGCTTCCCACACAAACAAAGAGGAGTTCAGAACAGCAGAGTTGAGAGGGTAGAATCAATAGTGTGTGTGTTTGTGAGTGTGTTCTATCAATAGCTCAGAATCACTTGGGTAAAGTGTTGTGCGTGTATGCACACAGCGCCACGTTTTAACTGGCTGAATAGCAAGTGGTTATTCCCGCTTCGCTACGACTCCATCACCGTCTAGACAAAAAATAAAAATGCTTGACTGTTCACAATCGACGATCCATATGAATACCAGAAAGGGAATTTTTGCGCTGAGCTAAGATTTTTTTATGTGATACTGTAAAAAAAGGGGGCTTCTTGGTATTTCAAAACAACTTTTAACAGTTTAAAAAGACATCACGGCTCCTCTGAAATCCATTCATACATGCCAGCATACAAACATAATGGAATCCTCCACACAGAGGCTTTACCAGGGGCACGCCTGGCACATGCTCCAAACTTTAAACAAAAGGAGGGAGCGTGAGCGAGCTGGAAAAGCATGACCTACAGAGACAGAGAGAGTGATAGAGTCGTTTGTCTCCCCTCTGTTCTCTGCTCTGCTCTGCTCAGCTCACTCCCTTCTTTTGCCTCTGGTTATGCAGAGACGTCATGTTTCCAGCAATGAGACAGTGTAAAATTAATAAATAAAACGACACGGAACATGTCATCTGCCCTGAAGATTGCCACGGCTAAACGCGCGCCGAAGCTACTGTTTGAGTAAGGGAGGATATAAATCACCTTTGCACAGGCTACGCATTCCAACCATCTTTCTTTCATTCTCTGTACCCCTCTACAGCCTTTTCCTCCTTCTAAGACCTGTACAGTGTATGATACAATTTGTCTGCTTATACCAACGTTATTGTGTTGCTTAAATAACTATCATTACAAGACGGCAGCATCTTTGCGGGTCGCATCTGTGGTCCCCCACAGTCACTTTGAAACATTCCATTGGAGAGATCCATGCATGCTCACAAGCGCACACAAACAGGTGTTTACGTCCTGGGTTTTCTATTCGGGCACTGACTGAACGGTATGTGCAAATGTGTATGTATAGGTA